GTTATTCGTCAGCTACGGGTTTAGTTTACGATGTGTTTGGAAGCTCTCGTCCAAAGGAGTCCCCCCCCCCCCCCCCCTTTTATGCGGCTGATTTGATTGATTTGATCATGTACTTTATTTCCTGTATTCAGTAGATTTCTTTTAGGTGGTTTGCGGTTTGGGGAATGTTGGATCCTTTTCCTGTTTTACTCGTTTGGTCGCGCGAATGATCAAATCAATAATGTTTTTGTTGGTTATTTTAGATCACAAAAGTCAAAGTATTTACTTGAGCGAGCTTACCAGCACAGATTTGTTCAAGTATAGGTGATATTTTCCTTTAAAAAAAATTCTTTATTTATCTGGAATGAGAAATTGGTTAAGAAACGATTTTGGATGTTAATTTCAGTTTCAATTTATTTTACTTCTTCAGCTGTAAAGCAGGTTAGAATTTGTTTTTAAATCTACATAATCTGTTGCATGTATACTTATTTTCGTATGCTGTTTGCTTCTGCATAAATAGAATTTTGAGTGTGTTGGGATTATATCCTGATGTTTTCAGGTTCCGCTTATTCTTATCTTGCAGTGTTAATGATGTTTTTGGTCGGCCTTCTTGTATACTGATTGATGAGTCGCTACGAGTTTTTGTGGTGGAGATTTGTGTGCCTTCGGAACATGAAGATATTCATGAGATGCTTTTGTGGATTTGTGGATTGACGGACAATTCTTTAGTATTGGCTTCTGCATTCATGAATATGCCAATCGGGTTCCTTTGTTTAACCATTGTGGGATAACAAGAGAACTCCCTATAAGGGAGAAGCAGAGTGAAAAAACAGGCAGAAAGAAATATGGGAGAAGCACTTCTCACAACCTTATCAATGGAGAACTATCATCCATCCACACTTCTATCAATTGATTCAGGAACTTTCACACGTGATGAATTGGAGAGGGAGATTAATCGATCAGTTCTCCTTTCCCGGCCACCTGACATCAATCTTCCTCTGTCATCGGAGGCTAGCCCACCTCCACTGACATGGAATGACCCTTGTGATGTCTTAGATGTTGTCCTTGGACCTCAAATTTATGAGGCTGAGGCTGTTGTTAATGTCCCAAAAGTTGCGAAGAAGTGGAACAAGCGGCTTGATAGCATATGGGGTGCTTGGTTCTTCTTTACTTTCTATTTCAAGCCTGTTTTAAATGAGAAGTCCAAGTGTAAGATGATTAGAGACAGCAATGGTTTGTCTGGGTATGAGAAAGCAGACTTGCAGCTTGATGCTTTTTTGGTTCAGCATGATATGGAGAACATATATATGTGGGTTTTCAAGGAAAAGCCTGAAAATGCACTTGGGAAAATGCAGCTCAGGAGTTACATGAATGGTCATTGTCGTCAAGGAGAACGCCCATTTCCATTCAGTGTGGATAAAGGTTTTGTTCGATCTCACAGGATGCAGAGGAAGCATTACCGTGGTCTTTCTAATCCTCAATGTCTTCATGGCATTGAACTTGTTCGATCTCCCAACCTCATGAATCTTGATGAGGAAGAGAAAAAGAAGTGGATGGAGCTCACTGGAAGGGATTTAAATTTCTCTCTTCCACCTGAAGCAAGTGACTTTTCCTCATGGAGGAACCTTCCAAATACAGAATTCGAGCTTGAGCGACACCTTCCTCCGCTAAACAGTAATGGGAATCTCCATCCAAAGAAGTTGCTAAATGGCACTGGTTTGAACTTGTCAACTCAGCCATCAGACTATACGAGTAGTGATGTGATTGATATCTCACCTATCTGCAACAAACGCAAGAAGGATTATTTTCCACTCGGGAATAGTGACGACTCCTGTTCTAATAATTCACACTCCGACATAGTTTTGGACATGAAAATCCAATCAGTCGAGCTGCCATGGTTGAATGAGTTTAGTGGAGTGATGAAGAATGTATTAGGACCAGTTACAGCAGCCAAAACAATATACGAAGATGACCAGGGTTTCTTGATTATTGTCAGCTTGCCTTTTGCAGATCTTGAGAAGGTGAAAGTTACATGGAGAAATACTCCCTCACACGGGATTGTTAAAATATCTTGTGTGAGTACGACTCGCATGCCATTCATTAAGAGACGTGATAGGACTTTTAAGCTAACAGATCCAACACCAGAGCACTGCCCTCCCGGGGAATTCATCAGGGAAATTTCCCTTCCAAACCGCATTCCAGAAGATGCTAAATTAGAGGCCTACCATGACGAAACAGGAACAATGCTGGAGATCATGGTGCCAAAACATCATGTAGGACCAGAAGAACACGAGGTCCGTGTGTGCCTTCGCCCTTCACCATGGAGCGAATGAGCAGCTTTTATTGACCCGAATAAAAGTGATGTGAGGGCGAGAATTTGCAAAGATTGTTAAGAGTGGCCGGTGCTTCATTGTTTTCTAACCTCATTCCATAAAGGAAACCTTGAAATGAAATATGCATTTTTTTGTCCTACATTTTTAGTATTCTGATTTCATACCCGTTGTAACCTTTTTAGGTGATCATGACGTCCGAGGAAAAGTGTGTTGATCATGATAATTTGTTAAGGACGAGCATCTGTTTGGTTAGATTTTTCTTTTCTCTTTTCATCCAAGAAAGTGTCAATTATTTTCTTGGTCATGATACTGATGAATATATTGTTTCTCTTCCTTTTACTTCTTAGGCCTGCTGTATTGCAGTGGTAGGTTGTAAATTTGTTAGTGATCCATATACACACACAGACACGCATTTCGCTGCAATTATATTTTGTGTAGTATATGATATATATCTAGTTTTCTTTAAAACAATGAAGATTTTTTATCTTTATGGTATTGTTTTTACATATTTTTAAGAAAAAAATGACATAATTTTCCAAATTAACAACTAAGATCTAAACTCTTCGTGTCTTGTTCTTCCACTTGCAATATTGAGTAAAACTATGAAAATCTTTTTGACCCTCTTGCTGAAAAGAATAAAAAGTTAGAAGATATCATCTATACTATAACTACGTCTATATATCTATTAATTTAATTAAGAAAGAGATTATATGCCACTGAATCTATTTAAATATATAATATTATAGTGCATCTGCCAAGAATTTGAACTGAAATTTGATTAATATCCCAAAAGAGCAGCATAACCAACATCATCTTCTCTACCCCAAAAAAAGAATAGTACAAAATGAAGCGTGTCATGGCTTTGATGGTGGGTTCTTGTTCCCTTTCGGATTGGGTCCTGATCCTTCCTTCTTATTATTTAGCTTCAAACGCCTCCCATATTTGCTCTTATTTTCCATTAAAACAAACCGCCCATCAGTAAATCATATCTATATGTGTATCAAACTATAACGAGATGATATATATGTACGTCTATCTGTGTACATAGAACAGAAGTAACATTATAGTTACCTCAATCCCCCAAGTAGCTAAGCTTGTTCTGCTTTCTGCAGCTTTAAGTTTGACATCAACTACGAAAAGTACATCAACAAAAAATCAGATGATGTTTCTTTTTGGTAACAAAAAAGTTGAAGTAGATTAGATAGGTACACACACACACAACATATATGTACACACACATACAGACATAAATATATACATTTACTTGCACCTGCTTGACCTGTCATGGATGGGGAGTAGCGGTATGATGGACGAGCCAGAAGAAGAAGAAGAAGAAGAATTCCAAAGAAGATGAAACAAAGTGGAGTACTCTGTTTTCTCTTCATTGCTGCAGGTATAAAAAAGCTCATGGTCATTTCTGGGGCTTGAAGGTGAAGATGTGGAGAATTTATAATTGATGCATGTCAATCATCATCTGTTTGAAACTTGTCTTTGCTACTATTTGAAACTTGTTAGGAAAGTGTGTATGGAAAATGAAATTATAGGGTATTATTTCAAATAATTGGAATAATCAATGAAATTTACCATATTCACTAATTTTTTTCTATTATAATATAAATTTTCTTAATTGGGATGAATCTTAAAAATTTCATTTACACTGTTTTGGACCTTTTATTTCTCTGATATCAACAAAACCAAATCATTAGGCCATCAACTCTATTGTCCCCTTTTGCCCAACCAAAAGTTTCTCTTTCTTTTTTTGAACTGTTTAGGCTATTTTAAAGTTTATGTTATTCTTAAATATTAAACTATTTAATTACAATATATATATTTTATGCATAACCAAAAGAGGTCAAATAGCCATAATTAAATGAGGAAGAGTTTCTTCAAAATGGTAATGATGTTGAATGCTTGATTTACCCATAATGAGACAAGTTAAGTTGATATGATTAATATACATATTGTCAATGTCTTGCTTTTTATTAGTGAATTTGAGATTTTTGATTTTATTCTAATTTCTTTGGCTTACTACTATTATGCTTGTGGGTTCTCACCTATTTGTCTCTTTCTTTTTCTTTTTTTTTTTTCTTTTTCTTTTTAGCCTCTCTTGTCTACTTACTTTGGTCAAACAAAGGGAATCAATAAACCCTAATAATTATTTTTGTATCATTTGCTTAATAAGATTTTTATTCTACTTGAAATAAATTTCTCAAGACACACAAAAGTCATTAGGTCTTGTGGTATGAATGTTGATTTGGGCCAATTGGGGTTTTGCCCATTTCAATTTCAAATTCATTCACCTCAATTTGGGCCTCCTTTCAACCTAATAATTATCCATCTTCATCAAACATTGTTAGAGATTCAATTAACAACACTAAGTATCCCATTAATTTATTAAATTATAAGTGTTTCATTTAAGAGTGAGAATGAGTGTAAATGGTTTGATTTTGCATCAAACATACAAATTATTTACATACGTTAAATCATTAGAATTTATTAATTTAATATAATACAATATATTTTAAATTAAACACAACAACATTATGTAATTTAGGTTAAATCAATCAGTAAATCAATTAGTATTTTTTGTTTGATTTAATTTTCTAAAATTTTACTACTTAAACACACGGTAGGTGAAAAATATATATTCATGGTATTTTTTGTTATTATTATTATTATTATTATTATTATTAGTTATATTGTATATTTTTTTTTAATATGAATTTAAAATTAAAAGCTCTTATAGCCACACTCACCAAAGGCCATTATAAAACATTATAATGTACAAATATGCTTTCTTCAAGCAAACTGCATCCATGGCCATTCTTTATGTACCATCTACCTAACAATCATAAAATTTATATATATATAATAACATCTGGGGTATTTCAAAGTGAAAAAAACTTGAGAATCTTTACCCCATTCCCTAGCTATACATACATGCATATATATATATATGTATATGTATATGTATCACAGGCATCCCTTTTACTTATTTCAGCTTTTGCTCATTGTGTGGTATGCATCCAAGATTCTGCTACCAAAACTTAATTTAGGAGTTGGAAGGATGTTAGGAATTAGTAGTCAATAAAATATAGTTTTATTTTTTCATGTTAATGCTAAATGGTAATCAACACAACCAAATTAAGGATCCTTCATATTGAAGTTACCATCCTTTTTTTATTGCTTATCATATCTATATATATATATATATCATCATTGCTTTGCATGCAATAAGAATTTATCAAGCTTAAAATTATATATTATTTGTCATTTTTTTCATCAATTAAATTTTATGGGTGAAAATTTCATATACTAATAAAATAATTACTTAAAAAAGTTTCATAAGCACATATTTATTAAAATACTATACAGAAACCGTAAATATTATTTTAATAATTTTTTTCAACAAACATCTAAAGTTTATCAATCTAAAAATTGTATTTCACATTTCATGAAAAAAAAAAATTCTAAATTCAAATTTAACAAATATAATATAATTTTGTTTGGGGTTGCACCCATGATATAATTTAAAGTTTAAATATCAAAGATTAAGTAAAATAAATAGCAATAAATCTCATATCTTATTAAAAAATATATATATAATAATTAATGAGTTAAAGGGAAAAATAATTGGAGGCTGGGTAGTTGGAAAGTAAAATAGTTCATTAAACAGAAAAAAATATTTAAATATATATATAGTCTTTAAATCTTGAAAATACAACACAGCCTCTCAATACTACTTTAATTTTGATTATAACATAGAAAACATAACATGTGGATATATATATATATATATATATATATAGGAGGAGCTCATAAGCTACCTAAAATACATTTTTCTTTCTAAAATTCCCAAATAATTTAGTAAAATTTTAAAAAAAAAGTACTCATTAAATTTTTAGTTTTTAATTTTAAAAAATTAAATGTTGAAATGATTTTATTAATTGATTGACGTAATTACAAGGAAAATAAATTTTGAAATATAACAAAAAGATAATTCTTAATTAAAAAAATAAATAAAACACAAATTAGCAAGAGTTTAATAATCAAATCAGCAATAAATAATATATTACAAAAAAGTAGATACTTTTTCAAGTTTGGAATAGAATTAAAATAGTATGAGATTCAAATTACTGAAACCACTTTTTTTTATTATTTATCTAATGTGGAAATAAAATTTAAGAAAATGAGAAAAAAGAAGAACTGGAAAAGGAAAAGGAAAAAGTTTGAAGAAGAAAGAAAGAAAGAAGCCGGTTTGTGCTGTCTATAAAATCTCCAACTGCGCCTCCTTGGCCCCTTCACTATAATAAAATCAATATATTCTTCTTCTCTGATTTTCCCTCCCTCGCCCCCCCCCCCCGAATCCTCTCTCTCCGATGGCTTCGACTCAAGCCAGTCTCCTTCTTCAGAAGCAGCTCAAAGGTCAGCACCCACTGAATTTTTCAATCGATTCTTCACGGCTCTCTTAATTTTTTAATTCTACAAATTAGTCAAATGGTTTTATCCGTGTTAATCGATTGATTACTTGGTTGCAGATCTGTGTAAGAATCCCGTTGATGGTTTCTCTGCGGGGTTGGTTAACGAGAACAACGTTTTCGAATGGAGTGTTTCCATTATGGGACCTCCGGATACTCTCTAGTGAGTGATCGAATTGTGTTTTTCTTTTGTAAATTTTGAATATTTTTATGTTAATCATCTGGGTTTTGTTTCTCTGGGTATGTTCTGTTTGAAGTTCTTGGGTTGTGTTTGTTTGATCTTGAATGATCGGTTGCTGGTGGCAATTCATTGTGATTTGGGCTTTATGGGTGTTTGATATTTTCCCCTTTTTCTTGGAAGGGATGGTGTGATTGTGTATTCATACAGTTCTGTTTGCTTTGTTTTGAATATGATTTTGTCACCAAAGTGCTTAATGAGTAATTGCAGCTTGATCCTTAATATTGTGGTTTTGGCTTTTGATGTTCTAATTTAGAAATTTTGGGATTGGTAAATTGATTGGATTACTATCTGATTATATTTGGTAACTGAGATCTAACTGACTAGTTTCGTCTTTAATGGTGCCTTTTTCGTGTTTAGGTATGAACTCATTATTTGGAAAGTCGCATGTTAATATAAGGTTCTTGGTCTATTCTTACTTTAATGTTCTGGATCTTTGTTTACTTATTCAGTGAGTTACTTGGTTTACTGGTAATTATTATTTCATATCTTTGATTGGTGATGTCATGCCATTCAGTTATTGCTTAAATGGTGATTTCTTATGAGTTTCCTGTAATTGAACTCTCATCTGTAGGTAGCATAACCAGGAACTGGCATTAGATTCCTTGCTCTAGTTCCCAAGAGAATCTGTTAAGCAATGGCATCTTGTTCTGAAAGTCAATGTTTCTATATCAGTTTAGCATGTTGCAATCTATGCTAATTATAATTGCTGCTTACTTTTGAGGTATTGTATATGGTAAATACACTAATATGGACATTCAAATGTTTCTTGACATGTTTTCTTAAACAATTCTTCTCTTGTAGTGAAGGGGGATTCTTCAATGCCATTATGAGCTTTCCAGACAATTATCCACTCAGTCCTCCAACTGTGAGGTTTACCTCAGAGATTTGGCATCCAAATGGTCAATATTGTTTCTGTAAATTTGAAATACCTTATATTTCTTTTTCTGGTGAGCTGGATCTAAACATTTACAATTGCTGTCTGAGCTACAGTTTATCCTGATGGGAAGGTTTGCATATCAATTCTCCATCCTGCTGGCGATGACCCAAATGGTTATGAGCTTGCATCTGAGCGCTGGAGTCCTGTCCATACGGTATTCTGTTCAATTCTTACGATGTTTTATCCTTACTAAAATTCCCCCATGTTCTTATGTGTAAACTGCTAATGTTTCCTTTGCTTTATGTTACTTGACATATTTATTTGCATTGTACCACTATATCTTGTGATATGTTGATGCAGCACCATATTAACCAAAGTCCAGTCAATAACTATCTTCACATGATGCAGTAGCCCTTTTTTGATGATATTATTTGTACATAATTAATTATAGCTCTCCTCTCCTGTTTCAAGTGCATATAACCTAACCATCAACAAGATTAAGGCAAGTGTTTTTGGACAAACACATTGTTATTTGCATGTAAGAACCATGATGTCTGAGGGATAATGGGTGAGTGCTGAAAAGCTTATATATATACGGTTACATATCTGCATTCGTGCATATTGTCAATACAGTATGTGGCTTTGCCATCTGATGGCAGTTCTAATTGGCAGTGCCTCTTGGTGGTGGGCAACTATAAGGACAGGAGATGAGATCAGTACCAGACTGAATTTTGTAGATTTGTACCAATGGGCTCTCCTTTGCCCAGATTGAGGTTTTATTCTAAACCTAGCACAACTCTAGTTTTTTAGAGATTGCTCAGGTTGGTTAGGGTGAGATACTGACATTATATTATATGATTCTTTGGCACATTGGATGCACAGGAAACTAACACAGTCAGTTGGAAGTACTTTGTGTTGTGATAGTTTCAAAACAATTGTTGGGTGAAAAAGTAATTTTAGGTGTTGGAACTTCATGATTTCTAGTTTTCTTCTGTTATTCCATTTCTTTACTAAGTAAACATGTCCTTTCTAGGAAGTGGAAAAGGTGACTTGTCCCTAGCTCAGAGGGAAGACTGAGTTTAAGTTTCCTTGGGTAGTAGTAACCAGGCTGCAGAAAGCAAGAGAAGATCTCTCTGAGAGGAATTATGCACGATTGACACTTGACTTTGCCAAAGCATCTAGTTTGGCTTGGGACACGTGTGGATCCTAAGTTTGAGATGCTATCAATCAAAATAAAAGGAGGTTTGTTTTTAATAATCTCTAGTAATACAAGAGAAATTAGGAATTCTCTCTTGGGTCTTTGACGTCTGGAGATAATAAATTTTTTGTGAAGTAACAAACTGAGATGTGCATTGGAAGACCATTGTTAGGGAGAAAAGAAAGAAAGAAGGGATATAGGAGCCTTATATAGAGGGAAGAGCAGCGGAAAAAACACACCTAAATGCGTTCTAATTATTAACTTGCATAATTTGTGAAGTGGCAGTAAAATTTACAAGTTTTATGTTATGAAAGTGATCATGTTTTGCTCAATGTGCTAGTAATTATGTACCTTAGAGTGTCTAGAAAATGACAGACTTCAACAACTTTGGAAATCATACCTTGCCTTGTTTGTATCTGATCTATTTATGTTTCTGCATAGAATATGCATCATTGCTCTTGCAAAATTTGCAGGTTGAGAGCATTGTCCTGAGTATCATATCAATGCTTTCCAGCCCGAACGACGAATCCCCTGCAAATGTTGAAGCTGCAAAACAGTGGAGAGAGAAGCAGGATGAATTCAGGAAGAGGGTGAGTCGATGCGTCAGAAAATCACAAGAAATGTTGTGATTTGATGATGAGTTGCTGTTTGGTTTCCGCTACATATTTTGTCTCGAGAAGCATCAACTACGAATGTTCTATCTATGTTCACGTGGGAGGGATCTGTAGCAGTTAGATTATATAAGATTAGAAAGCCATGTAGTACTCCATTTTGGATTTAGAAAATATCTGTTTCTTTTTGATGAATTTTTTTTAGATATGAAAGAGAGAGAGAGAGAGAGAAACAAAAAGAAAAGAAAAAAGAAAAAAAATGGACTCTTTCACGTCTAAAGAAGAAGAGATTATGAAGTTTGGAATTTGAGTTTTTGGAATGTGCTTCATCAATCAATTACCTTTTTCAACACACCACCCATTTCTTATCTCCGTGTATAATAATAGAAATAGACGACATTTCTAAGTTAGATTTGAACGTGTGAGTTACAGAATCAAGCGAAGCAATTTGAAACCCCCACTCCCATTTCAACCCACCCGGTGGTGACGGTAGTTGCTGAGGATTTTCAGTCAGACACGGAAAATGAAGATGATATTTGTTGAATTGCAAGCTCAACAATTATTGTAGGTTTCCACAAAAATCAAGCTTAAAAATTAAAAATAAAAAAAATTTATTTGACTTTTTAATAGATTTATATAAACTGTGAAATTTATCATCAAAACCATGGTGTTTGAATTGACAAAGTTGGACCATAAATATATATATATATGTCTTTTTAATATAAAATTTTGAATTAATAAATCTTATTATAATTAAATTTAATAGATATAATAACAAAGAATAAACATGAAAATTCTAATAATTAATTGCTTAAAATTAATTGCTAATAACATACAGCCATAAAATTCCTCTTTTCGTATGTTATTCATTACACTTGTTGTTTTTGTAAATAAATTAATAATAGAATTTAAATTATTAGATTTTTCCTCTCCTTCCCTCAGCATCTACTTTTTCTCTCTCTCCTTTTGCCTCCCTTTCTTTCTTTCTTTCTTTCTCCTTTCCCTGCTTTTTTCTAACTCACTTTCCCTCTCGTTTCCTTCTCTGCAAGTCTTATCCCATGAACACCTCCTCTTTCCTTTCTCCTCCCGTGACTCCAACCACATCCTAACAGACCCTAACTCCCCTCCCCCCTCCCCCCTCCCCTCCTCGTTCCTCTCATGACTCCTCTCTCTTTTCTTCTCTTTCCCCTCTGCGACATCGCCATCACCGTCACCGTCAATCATGCGCTCGCCGCAGCCACTCCGCAACGGCGAGACGCCCTCGCTGCACCCAAGGATTCCGGAGACTCCTTTCCACTCGACCGTCGCGGTACACAAGCTCAAGCGATTCAACTCACTGATTCTCGTATTTAGACTCGCGGCCTTCTGCTTCTCCTTCGCTTCCTCGATTTTCATGCTCACTAACTCCCGCGGCTCCAGTTCTCCTCGGTGGTCCGATTTCGACGAGTACAGGTTCTACTTTCGGTGCTTCTTCTTTCTTTGTGTTTTTTTTTTTCCAGAAATTTCGCCATCGTTTGGTGTAAGAGAAAAAGAAGGGAAAATACTAGGAATTTAAGTATTAAGCTTACTGTTTTAAAATCATTTTAAAAATCTGAGTATCGGCGCCTAATATTCATTTGATTTTAAAATCTCGAACCTGGTAAAATTGGAGATTAATCCACCACCACAAAATAACTGCAGATTAGTTTTCGCTGCAAACACGATAGTAGCTCTCTACTCTATCTTCGAGATGGCAGAGTCTGTTTGGGAGATCTCCAGAAACGCCACCATCCTCCCTGAAATTCTCCAGGTCTGGTTCGACTTCGGCCACGATCAGGTCCTCTATCTCTCTCTCTCTCTCTCTCTCTCTCTAGTCATCCATCTAAATTCAAATTCCTGAAGGTGGCATTTTGGTAATATGACAGGCGTTCGCGTACCTGCTACTGTCAGCAGACGCTGCGGGAGCTGTGCTGGCAAGGCGGCTGAGGGCGGAAAACACATGTACGGAGACGTCACCGGCGTTCTGCGTGCAATCGGAAATCGCGATAGCGTTAGGGTTCGGGGGATTCCTGTTCATAGGGTTATCTTCGCTGCTGTCGGGTTTCCGGGTCGTGTGTTTCATAATAAACGGCTCTCGCTTTCATCTATAGGAGTGAGAGAAGGGAATGTCTTGTTTTTTTTTTTTGGTTTTTTGTTAAGGTGTGTGCGGGTATTGGGTTGATTACCGTGCTCACTACTTGGTGATTTGGACTGACATGACGTCGTGGGTTATGTTGGAAGTGCTCTTTCTTTTTCTACTTTTTTTTTAAAATAAAATTAAAAAAAAAAAGGAATTTGTACTGAGTATTTGTCATGATGATGTGTTGGGGTGGTGTGTAATTTAAATTATTATATATTTTTTAGGGGTAAAGGGAGGATAGAGTTTTTGAATGAGAGAGATTATTCTCTCGTCCTTGATTTTTTTTGGCAAACACATATCCCAAATAATTCAATCTAATTCTCTACTCTTTTGTGATTTACAAGAGTTTGGTTGAATGATCATTTTATTTCCTATATTGGTATTTAATTTTTCAAGATATATATATATTCAATATAATTGAGGAGTATTTATGAATTAATTCAATTAGTTAAAATATTTCAAGTATAAACTGAATTACAGATTTTCTTTTTAAAGTTATAATAATACAAATAATTTTGATTTATTAATATATATAAAAATGTGTGTGTGTGTGTATATATATATATATACATGATAACACGGGAATATTATTGGTCTGTGCAGTGCTGGACGCGCAGCCCAGACACAGCCCAGCCTTATAGCCGTTATATAAAATGTATATGTAATACTTATTTTCTACTTATATTTTATAATTACATAAAGAAAAATATATATATTACTTAAAAATTAATTTTTTTTTTTTTTTTTTTTGTGGGAGTCAAATTGGAGTATATGTATTTATTATAGAAGTTTAAACCTTGTAATTTTATCAATTTTTTTCTTTTTCTTATATTAAACATACAGATGGCATAAAAAGCTAAGGCCCATGCCTTTATTCATTTAAAAAATAACACACTCCATTACAAAATTATAAACAACTTTTAAAAACTTTCAAACTCCATTGTTTCCATCATTAATTAATTTATGCATTTTTATAAATAAGATACATATAAGTTTTAAAAAAATTCAATATATATATATAAATAAAATATTTTAATATCCCAAATAGATCAATGATAATCTTATTTTAATTGAAAAAACCAAAAAATATGGAGTTCTGTTCTGTCATGGAAAAATAACATGTTGTAACTGCAGAAAAGAACAGACCACAAAAAGTGAAATGAAGACCAAATTACAAAAATATAATAATACAAAGTCTAGGTATTCATCATGTTTATAACAAGGCAGGCTATGGGTGTAAACAGCTACAAAGGAAAATTTGACTAAGAATTTAAGATAATATGTCGGCTTCAAAAGTTAGGGCAGACATAGCCAGACAACAGCTCAGTCCATTGACTAAACAGAAACCTATAATTAATAAGGTTACTAAACTTGGTTCTTATTTATGCCAGTGGAAGCTGGCAGTGTTCCTTTATCAAAAAGTTGTATTCTGCATCTGAACATGATTATGAAAAACCGGCTTTCAGTTACCTTCATACTTGGGATCAGCCACCACATAATGATAAGCGATCACCAAGACAAATATGAAAATGCCAAGAAAATTGGCCAGAAATCCAAGCGTCTCGTCGTCAATCATCTGCAGGAGCAAAAAAAAAAAAAAGAATTCAAATATCGCATTCACATACTAAACAAAAAACAACAAAATTAACAGCCTAACTTCCACACAGGGCAGCAGAAAGTTCAATTATGACAAAGGAACATTCTGTAGGCAACAGATTCCGGATAACATAATGCTTTGCAGTAAGTTCAGAACAAGATGCAATGAGTAAAGCATACTCAATTTCCCAACAAAAAAAAAGGGGTTCAGTGAAGAGCTGAAATTAAACGAATCTCTAACCATTTAAACTCAAGTTTGATAAATTTGACAAATAATTTGTTTAAAACCACAACTAATTTATATTTAATATTTTTACAAACATTCAACAAATACAAATAAAACATAATCATAATCATCCCTAGAACATAAAATCTGGTGTTTAAAACCACAACTAATTTATATTTAATATTTTTACAAACATTCAACAAATACAAATAAAACATAATCATCCCTAAAACATAAAATCTGGTGTAAGCACCAAATGATACAATGCATCATGTGCACTGGGAGAAAACTGGAGCCATTTGGCAGACAAAGACTAAGCACGTTCATTGTCACCATATTTAATATCTTCAGCCTACATCTATTAGAGGCAAAATCTACTCATCATGTTCATGATAAATAGCACCACTAAAGCAAGAGGTAATTCCTCTACCAAGCAAATTCTAATTTCCTTCATTAATGAAAAGGTACATAATTCGCAAATATACATCAATGATATAATGAAAAGTACATACGTAAAGTACTTATACCAAAAACAATCAAATCACAAACTAGAAGAAACAACAAAGAATACCATACAAAACTAAGGTCTCTGTGCAGGGATATTAGGCTGCATACCACATTGCAGCAGGCCCGAAACAGAGAAAGGGCAACTCCACAGTAAGCCAAAACCAAAATTATCACCTATAACTAAGCTACATTAACTAACCAGCACTAGCTTAGAAACTCATCCCTGGTGCCCTTAATCAAAGTGACAGAAAAGTTCTTGAATCCTCAGAAAAAAGAAGACAGAAGAATGATGAATGATAACTTGTATCTCTTAATTTTTCTAATCAAATGTGTATAATCTTAAAAAAATAAGGACAAACAGGGGGGATAAATAGATACCATGATCCCCGACCTCAAGAGTTGAAATTGAGAACTTGAGAATCTGAGATCAAGATGAAGCTGTGACGGTGCAACGGTGTCGGGATGAGAAGAGGAGATGTATGAGGAAACCAAATGGAGATACAGATGTTTCAGAAAGAAACAGTTATGAGGTGTAGCAATTTGGGAGAAGGATGAAGGTGTTGACTGTTGAGCTTAGGTGTGTGGCTACAAGAAGATTGAAGGGAGCCTGATGAAGACAGAAAAGTTATGAAACCCTAATCTAAAATACTTACATTTATATTTTATAATAAAATAAATTAAAATTCTATAAATGCTTGCTATATAATTATGTAATATAATATTAATGTAAAATAATTATGAATTTTAAAATATAACATATATTATTTATTTTAATAAATGGTAAATTGCCAAAAAATGGCTAATCTTTTTTTTTTGAGATAAAAAGAATGTGTATTAAGTATATAGCACCAAGTGGATGCCACCAATGTACAAAATATTTACATCTCAGTTAGAACATCAATGACCTTTTCAAAATCATGCCACCCATATAAGTTGTGCCCCAAAATTAGACACAAAAACATGTATACCTATCTCTTATTCTTATTATATCCCTCACACATTCTTCAAACGCATTTATTTAATGTCATAATCGACAAAAATATAACTGCATTTTGGGATTATACAAAGAAGTGACTTTAAGATATTTAATTGTTTAAAGAGTTAAAGGTGATAATATTTTACGTTAATGACCTTGTACCTTTCATTTATTTTTCGATTGATAAATACACTTCTTTTTTGAAATGTGATAAATAGACTTCTTAAGAAATCCAACACTTGGTTTCCCTATCCAGCAACTAACGGTTAAGAACTCCTAGCAGCCAGGTTCATATATGCTCTCTCTAGCAATCAATAAAATCTCCTACCAACCTTCGCTTAAAAAAGTACAGAATAACAAATAGTGGGATTCTTTATTCATTGGAAAAGCCCTCTTCCATCCACCTGATAAATGTTCAACTGATTTATACTCAAGCATACTCGTGCAAGTACACAGACTGTTTTTCAAACTCCATGTAATGCTTTCTGAAGTTGATGTTAAACCACATTTTTATGCTCCATCCATGAGAAGCAATAAAGGCAACAAAAAAGCAGAAATACAATCCAAACAAGGAACATAGAAAAAATTCAAGTGTGAACTGGACTGAAGCTGCCAGCAAGGTAGTCTTATAAAATCGTTTTGAAGAGAGAATAGAGATGAAGAAACTCAGTAAACAAATAAAATCATGATCATACTTCACACTTTCTTAAAAACTACGGATGAATACAAATTGGCAAGTCAGCAAATCGAGGAAGTTTAGTACAGCAACAAATTAAGGAATGAATGAAGATGCTAGCACAAAAAAACGTATGGCAGAAGTTCTTGAACAACACAGTAAAAAGAAAGTGAGACAAATACAATGTCAAGATTGAGCTACATGACAGCAGGTAACAGCAGAATAAAAAAGTTCGGGGGAGGCACTGAAGAAATTAAGTCATTGGTGATAGGAAACTAAATGAAGAGCAGCAACAGTCACAACCTAAAAAGATTCAAACAACCAAAGCAAGCATATCATAGAGGCAAACAAGAAACTCATGAGAGTTGAAGCGCTGAAGATATTAAGCCAGTTGCAGTACTTGTAACTACAATATTTATATTTTGGTAAATTCCCCAAACTTATTTGTTAAATAATTAACTTGCTTAAATCATTATAACTCCAATGTGTTATTTATCCAAGAACATTAGGGCTAGATGAATATAATGCAAGAGTAGACTTCGGAATAATTTGAAAATGATCCCCAAAATGCTAAAAGAAGACATAAAGATCATGGTGAACACAGAGACGCACATATAAAGACTAAACTCTCAACCATCTCCCAAAAGGAAAGGAGAGACTAAATCTCGAAGAAGGTTGCACTATCATGTTCTGTTTAAAAAAAAGAATTTCCGACATAGTAATGAATCAAAAAGCTTTGCTATCTGAACATCTGGATCATGCATGAATAACTTTTTACTAATGATAAGGCTAACAACACACAGATGATGGTGTGGAATTGGAAAGCAGGAAGAAATCCTTAAGGATATCAATTATTAATTACTAACCACTTGCTTGAGTGTTTGTTGATGTGTGTGTGTGCATGTTTTGTTTGTGATAAAATACAGTAGACCACCAATTTATGCTGATCGTGGTTCTTGTTTTCCTTTCTGATTTGGGTTGTTAGTTCTTGTTTAGTTTGACAATTAGATTTTGTCAAATTTGCACAAGAACGAAAAACAAGAGCCCATGGATCAAGACAAAGATGATTCCATGGAAGGCATCATTAATCCAATTATATCTTGAATATCAATTGTATGTGACACAAAGTGATTATCAAAACCAGTTCGAAGAAATGATAAGTAATGATGTTATCAACAGTGGTTGAGCTATGTCCTCATTAGGGTCTTGGAGCTCAATATAAATGGGGTTAAATTGTAGCCCGCTTTCAAAGAGAAGAAGACTGGGGATTGAGGAAAAACGAAGGAGAAAAGAGACACTAAAGAAAAGAAGAAGAATTAGAGGTATAGTGAGTGAAGAGGAGGGAGAAAATGAAAAAAGAAAAATGAAAGGAGAGGCAGTATGGCTATAACATAACCTCCAGTGAACTGATAGCGGTTACCATGTTTGAAGAAGGAAAAAGAGAGACACTAGGATCAGAGAAATAAGGAAAAACTTAGCTGCTTGAAGGGTAAATTTTTAATTTTATTAAGCTATTGACTCTGCATACAGTGAACTGAAGTGCCTAGTATAAATATACCAGAGTAACAATTTACATAATGTTACTTTAACTCATGAATAGGACAAATTTTTTTTTTTAAATAAGTGAATGGATCACAGATGGAGATCAAAGTGAAGGAGGAGTAATTTAAGACTTGAATGGCCTGGAAAAATCTATCTCAATCTGTATGGACCAATTTAAGACCAAAAAAATAAAATAAACTACTTGATCATTTCAATTAAATAGCAGAGCTTTACCAAAAACCCTGAACACTGCAGTGCTTGAGGTGGTGCAGCATGCACCTGTTTGTATGGACAAGTTCTCAACATATAAAGCTACTGTGAGCAAGATTTTAAGATCTCTAAGAAGAGAAATAAGCTTTAGGCATTATGAACAAAAGGAAATGCTGTAGCTTATTTTAATGGATCACTTTACCTGCTTATATATGAAGCAGAAGCTGCTCTATGCAAAAGTAAAAATATCAAACTACTCTCAATTTTAATGTGCATTAAAGAGGAGCACTCCATTCACTTGTACAGTTTATAACGCTTTTGAAAGAGAAAGGGGATAACATGAGATAGAGATACCACATTATAGTCACGTGCTACTAGACTGACAGTATAACCCTTGGGATTATTGAAGTGAACCTAAAAGTAGTTAATTATGAAAAAACAAGGGTTGAAACCATAAGGAGAGAAGTCCTTCTGATTATCTTACATTCTATTTTGTCTGCTACATATTTTAACGCAATCTTCAAACCAAGTGAAGCAGATAAACCCACAAGCATTATTACTAGGAAAGTCAAACGTACGACGGTACAAAAACTTCGTTTTCCACATAAATCAAGTAAAACCATTTCTGCAAAGAAACAAAAAGAAAAACAATATAGAAACAAACAAAATGGCAGGAAGAGGAGAAGAGGAAAACAAAAGAACCACTGCGATCGCAGTGGGATTCGAACCCACGACCTTTAGATCCGGAGTCTAACGCGATATCCACTCCGCTATGCGATCACATTTGCTACGCCATAGAAACTTAAAAATTTCTTCAGAAACTATAGAAAACCTAACAGATCAAGGAATGGAAAGCTCGAGGCATCGCATCAATGAAAGAAAACTCGCAAACAAATGAACAATCACAGAAAATCCAATAAAAATAAAAGAAAACCCAACAGACATCTAATCCACTATCATTTCCACAAATCAAAAATCCTACAAGAAATATGAACAACTATATCCCAGAAAATCCAACATAAAGAAGAGGAAACCCACAGAGATTAACTAAAATATCTTGTTTACAATTCGAATATTCTAACGAAAAAACACATTGAAACTGTACACTCTACTCGGGTAGGGCAAGTTACGCTGCTAAAGGGAGAGATAGACAGAGGCACGAAAAATCGAAAAAGAGATCGTCCAGGAGCATACCTTTATGGGAATCAGAAAAACGCCAAAGCAGATCTCTAGTAAGAAAAGACGCCGGCCGCTGCAGTAAGAGCCTCTGCTTTCAGTTAAACGGCCTGGTGCGTGACACTTATATTCAAAATAATAATGACGCAAGAAAAAAAAAGGGGTTTTATTATCAATACAATTTATTATAAAATAAAGAAGTAACAATGTGGTCGCTAGGATCGAACCCGGATCCCCACGGTCACTATGTCGAAACCAATAGTTTTTTCGTTTTTTTTTTTTTTTTTTAATATACGTTATTTTACTCTTGAAAATAATTTAGATTTACTTACACAATTTTATCTCCATCTTCTATATATTTAGTAGAAGATAATTATTCATCAATAGATTATAATAATACAAATTAATCGATATTAAATTACAACATTTGATTTGAGAAATAAGTTGAAATAAGTTATAAAATAATTACTTTCTCAAGAAAAAGTTATAAATAATTACAAAAACCATAATTTTTTTACTTGTCTAAAAAGATATGTATATATTAATTACACATATATACTATTATATGATTATTAAATAAAATACTATTTAGTTTAATAAAATTTTACATATTTATGTAATTTTTATTTCATATTAATTTAATTTTATAAAATTATAAAATAGTAGGTAAATTTTTCTTAAAAGTTATTAATAAATCAAAACTATTTTATAATCTTTTCTTTATGTTCGTATTTTAAAATTAAAGAAAATTTGTTAATTATAAATTTTTTAAATGTCAAGCAATATCATAAAAGTGAATTATTACTCACTAAATCTTCAAATATCAAATACTACTATAACTATAAATTCATAAGTATATTTAAAATTTTAAAATAAAAAATAATAATTATATATAATATTTTAGAATAAACCAAAGGTGGTTTTATTTTTTCAGGCTATACATAATCATCTTTTGAGCCCTTGGAGGTCAATGGTGATAGAATATGATAAATGCAAATTTTTTCATAATACCCACTAACTTATCCATCTTTATATTCGTTTCATATAGGAACACAATATCTACGTTATATTTATTTATAAGGGCTCAAGTCTTTAAAATACGAAATAATGATTTAGTCCTCTAAACTTCACTATAAGTATATCCATTGTGCTCATAAAAGCACTAAGAGGTAAATGAAACAAAAGAACAGTATTTAATATGAAAAAGTAAAACAAATTTTGTTTGTATGATTTTTGTTAGGCCCATTCTCTTTTTTACTATTTTATGAGTTTCAAGATTTTCAATGTCCGACAATCTTTTGTTTTTAATTGACTTATGTTAATATTCTATATACTTGATATCTCGTGACTCATATTTTATAATGCCTCTAATAGATAATTTATTTTTTTTAATATTTTCAAAAAAAAAATTTCTCTAGAGTAGTGGAGCTCTTCCCTAAATTTATACATTTAAAAGAATTATTAGATTTATTAATTGTATCGAGAAACTTACTTAATTTTAAATGGCTCTTAGTTAATTAAATTATTGAATTAAATCGTACTTAATTTAATCGCTAACTTTTCAATGATTAGCTACATTTGTGATTATGCCAATCTTCGTATACGATTCATAAGGTTTAAGCCGGAGCCTTATTGGGAAATTAACAAAGGATGCTTTATTTTAAAAATAATTATTCTTACCATGATCTAATTACCACAATAAAAGCATAAATAGGAGATAAGTTTGTATTTAAACCACACCCAATGCTTAAGGTTGCAAGGTTTGGCAAGAAAAAAGATTGGAGAATAATAAATAGATCACCAACATTTATTAAGACTTTAACTTTGATATAATCTACCCAACTATCCTCATTTTTCACAAACCCAATCTCTATCACCTCTTATATTTTGCTTACTATAACATAAATATATATATATTTTTTTTGTTGAACATACTCAACTCGAGACTTCAAATATTTTAATCTATATAATAAATTTATTAAATTTTATGCTCGGGGTATATATATTTTTAATTTTATTTCTATCAGTCCCATGACCAAATAAACATATAACTTAATTATATGCGTATATATTATCTATAGATTTAATTTACCGATGAGTGATATTTAAGAAAGAGAGTAATATGGGATTGGATCCGACGCAGCAGATAATGCTGATCCCCAGACCCATCATAGACTTCGCTATCCGACGTGGCAAATAAATGGCTAATAAATATTCTGTTTACATATTAATATTTATCCTCTGCTCTAAAGACCACCCATACTCCAAGCTCTCCACCAATCCACTAGGACCACTACCATTTCCAAGTTCAAATTACACGTGGTGACGTATAATTCGTTGAAAATTACACTTTACTATGTTACTAACCGCACCAGAACCAAATCTATGGAGGACCTAAAACGGTGAACCACCGGTAGAATTTGATTTTTTACTAGATGACGTGGCATGCTCTTATTGAAATACGGATTCAGAAACTCCTGATTTCGCGGGTCCTCTCCTCCCATTTATTTCTAAAACCACGACGTTAACATAGTATATAAGCCCATAATCTTACGGGTCTACAACGTACAGGATCGTTGATCATTTCCCTATAATCTTTGTCTCGTATAAGTTTGAAGAGGGTACGGAAAAGAGACTGCCTGGGTTTGTTTTTGCTTTCTTTCTGTTTTGGATTTTGAAAATGTAGCAGTATTATTGCTAGTTATCTTACTAGGAGTCGTGGCTTTTGAAGGTGGACGAAGTGGGTCTGTTTTGGTTTTTTTTTTTGGTTGTTTAAGTTTATGTGATTGTGAGACATTCAGATCTGAAATGGAGAGTTGTGTGATGTCTACTTTCTTTTCTGTGAAGCTATCGTTACTGTGTGTGGCGTTGCTTTTCTTGTTTCTGAAGATTTCTCTCTGTCAGTTGGTGTGAGTTTGATAGTACTGTTTTTGCTTCCGTTTTGGTCAATGGAGGTATGGGATTGGATCCCAATTCCATATTTTCAGAGCTCTATATAATGTTTGGATATTCAACGATGTGTATACATTTCAGAATTGGGTTAGTTTCTGTTATGCTCAAATGATGCGTTTTTTAATGAGTCTCTTATGGGATTAGCATTTGGGTTTTTGGTTTTATTTATTTGATTTAATTGTACCAGTTTGTGTAATCTCTTTTGGGTTTCCAATGATTTGGTGGTAAATTATGGTTTTGATTGTTTTGGGTTCAGGAATTAAAGAAAAGATCTCAAGAAATGGCCAAGGAAAACGGAACCGCAAAGCCCCCTCCAACACCATCTCCTCTGAGATTTTCTAAATATTTTCAGGTACTTAAATATATTTAAAGTTTGGATACATTTGCTCAAATTTTATTATGCTATCATTACTTACTGGCTGTTGCTAAGCAGTTCAACGTCATTTTGTGAATGGATGAGATAGTGGTAAATAGTAAGTTACATAATCTGGATTGTTTTAGGAAATTATGAGGTTTTGAGATTAATTTTTTATTTCTCAGAAAAGAAAAGGAAATAGTGATTTTTGATGTATGAGAATTTGAAGTGAGATCAATTGTAACTTTTGACTGGCTTTGCTCAAAATGATAAAAATCAGATTTAAAATTCTTGTATCGTTATGACTGTATTAATTTTGTGATTCATTAGGACTGGTTTTCCCTCTAGTAATGTAAACTATATTGGTGCAGTCTAACATGAGAATTCTTATTACTGGAGGTGCTGGATTCATTGGTTCCCATCTAGTGGACAGGTTGATGGAAAATGAAAAGAATGAGGTGAGCACTACGGAGAGTAAACTGATCATAGTTCTTCGGTCTAAAATGTGCCTCATGGACTTCTTTGAATCGGACTTTTCTTTTTTTACTTCCAGGTGATTGTTGCTGATAATTATTTCACTGGCTCAAAAGAGAACCTGCAAAAATGGATTGGTCATCCAAGATTTGAACTTATCCGCCATGGTATTTTCTTTATTTACAGATTTGAAACAAATACATCATGATTCTTTGACATCCACAAATATTTACTTTGTTAGCATCCAGATGCCTATCTACTTTGCCTTATATTTCCTCGCCTCTTAATCTTTTGTCCCTTCTGTTTTCATGCAGATGTCACGGAGACATTACTAGTTGAGGTGGATCAGATTTATCATCTTGCTTGCCCTGCCTCTCCAATCTTCTACAAATATAACCCTGTAAAGGTATCCACATCTTTGATTAACATCATTTGAAGAATATTCAAAGTCATGTTCAGCGAATGGTAACCAAGATATCATTGGGATATTTTTCTCAATGTAAAGGGAAAATGGCTGTTTGATGTGGCTTCCTTCTGCTTCTTCTCCATTCCCTCCTTTTACGTTTGTTTCCCTCATTATTTCTAATATTGAGCAATTAGTTGTATCTGATTTCTGAACTTGTTATACTTCTTGACAGACAATTAAGACGAATGTCATTGGTACCTTGAATATGCTGGGACTTGCCAAGCGAGTTGGAGCAAGGTTTAAGATCATGACTTAATGTTGATAAATCTATTTATGATTGTCTTCTTGTATTTCTCATGGGCTGATATGGTTTTCAGGATCTTGCTCACATCAACATCTGAGGTGTATGGAGATCCACTTGAGCATCCCCAGAAAGAGAGTTACTGGGGGAATGTTAATCCAATTGGTATGTTTGCTCCAAAAATAATCTATTGCTTACTTTCAGTAACTAGGAAAGTGAGGGATATGTGCTAGAAAAATACATTGAATTATGGAATTTAGAAAAGTATATGTAGTTCTAATCAACTTTGCTCCTATAATGTTATAAATTTCACTAGTGAAATGAGGAGCATCAATCTCTTCAACTTGTGCAATGCCTATTAAATTCAACAAACTTCATATGTAAATTATAAATTGACTTGTTATATAAAATATTACAGGAGTTAGGAGCTGCTATGATGAGGGAAAGCGAGTGGCTGAAACATTGATGTTTGATTACCATAGGCAGCATGGAATAGGTAAGAAAGCCAGGGTCTAAACCTTTGCTTCCCACTGTATGAACTCCTACAGCTATTAATTTAGCATATGCATATTTTCCTATAAAAAACTTTTTTCTGTCTGAATATATTGATATAATAACAGAAATTCGAATTGCCCGTATCTTCAACACCTATGGACCCCGCATGAATATTGATGATGGTCGTGTTGTCAGTAATTTCATTGCCCAAGCTATCCGGTAAGCTCTATCAAAACATCGCCTAGAACATCGAATTCAGCTGCCAAAATTCTACAACCCCCACCTTCCTTATATTTTGATTGTGGCCTTCCTTTCTTTTATTTCTTGATTATCCCATCACTTGTGCCCTTAATTTCTGCAGTGGGGAATCTTTGACGGTACAGGCACCTGGAACACAAACCCGGAGTTTCTGTTATGTTTCTGATATGGTATTCAAGAGCTTCTTGTGTGGCTGGTTCTCTTGTGCTGACATACTTACTGGTTCTTAACTTTGCCATCTAAATGTTTAAGGTTGATGGTCTTATTCGGCTAATGGAGGGAAACGACACTGGGCCAATTAACATTGGGAATCCAGGTCATTACACAGTTGTGGGCTCATAATTAGAATTTGTTTCCAGCTACCAAGAATTAATCTGAGCTTTTCATTGCAGGTGAATTTACAATGACTGAACTTGCAGAGAATGTTAAAGAGGTCAGATATTCATGCATCTAGCTTCTGTATGCTACAAATATGATCTAGAATTTTATCATTCTTCATTTCTTTCCGATAGAATCTCTCCGGCAGAAATAATTAGATTCCATCACATGTGCATGTCTGAAACTGAAAAGCTTGATCCCCTTGGTTGCAGCTTATAAATCCTGATGTGAAGATTACAATGGTGGAAAACACTCCAGATGATCCTCGACAGAGGAAGCCAGTTATTTCAAAGGCAAAGGAGGTTCTGGGATGGGAACCAAAGGTCAAACTGCGAGATGGCCTTGCTCTCATGGAGGAAGATTTTCGGAGGAGGCTTGGTATTCCAAAGAAGAACTAAACTTTCATCACAGTTCCACAGAAAAAATGCTTGATATCAAAGCTTACATGGACGATGACAACATCTCTCCGATATCATATGCTATTAGTTACAATAAATGTCCTAGGCTTGTATTCTGTAACAGTAAAGAATACAGGAAGATATCATTTTTAAATGTATTTTGTTTGAAAACACAAAACTGAAGCTTCTTTCGGTAGCACAATTCTTTGATTATCTTCACTTTTTGGTCTCTTTGGAAGAAATGCAGATTCCTTAGTTTGAATGAGGAATTTATTTATCAATCAAATCATCTAGCATCTGTAACACCGTGGAAACATTTTCCCACTTGAATTGGATGGATTCAAGCAAAACAAATTACTCCAAAACTTTCAGAGCAATATATGACAAAATCAGGGTAGTCAAACCAAATTAGAGAATTGTGGTGAACTGAGTGATGCCGGCTTGTGTTTTTGCACTCAACGCAAGACTCGGATTGTTGTTTTAAAAGATCTAGATGATAGATGAAGGAATTCAAAATCAACATATGAGATGAGGAGAGTTCATGTTCTTTCTGATCCACCTAAAACTAAAACATATGTCAAAACTAGGAAGATCACAATCTCCTCTCTCTCGAGAAAGAAGAATACTCGCAACCTAATTCTAAAGAAATTAAACTCTGGACCTAATTTATAAGAGAAGTCTTACTAGCTTGAACTGTTAGATTTTTTTTTCAAGGCTGTAATTGGATCAGACAATTTCAAAGCAATTACAATTTTTCACACACCGGCAACACTGTCAACTAAAAAGCAAAAAGGGCCAAGTTGCTATAAGAAAACATCAATTTGGATTGATATATTATTAGTTACAATGTTTCCAAGTTGCTATATGAAAAACTTAATTTAGGGTTCTAAATTGAGCGATTATATAGACAGAATATTTAGCTTCCAACAAATTCCGTTTAAAATTGGATTCTTAAGCTTCTTGAGCCTGAGGTATTCTCTCCTTGTTTTTAACAACCTTCTTGGCTACTACTCCACCAGCTTCTGTTTCTGCTCCTTGTTCAATCCTTGCAAACACTGGTTTGGGTGGAGCCATGACCTGACCACCCTTTAGCCCAACGCACCTTGTCTCGCTCTGCAGTTTAAATAAGAAAAGCAAAGTCAACAAACAATTACTTGAAAATCAGGAAGGTATATGGTAAATAGAGATTCAAGATTCAAAAAAGGCAAGAGAAAGAGACCCAGGCTGCAGTGTTAAACTGGTCCTTCGTGTAGCCTAGCTGTGAATATATTCGCCATGATAAGCCAGGGGTGACTGGAGACAAAGCTATCGCAATAATCCTCACTGCTTCCAGTATAATAACAAGATCCTGCCCAAAACCAAAAAAGAGAATGATCTTAGAAATAACAGGGCATGTGGGACTACTACTTGACAGACAATTTTTTGTTACACAATCATGATCAAGAACATCTCTTCTATGCTTATGAGCAACAAGTTTTTCCCTAGCCCCAGGCTTCCATGAACAAGGTAATAGATGGTAAGTGCAGTGGATTTGGAATTGATGATTGACTGGGAAAAGAATATTTTTCAAATTTTAGTTATAGTAAATTACATATATATATATATATATATATCAAATAGAATGAACAAAGATTTTTAATAAAAAAAAAACCTTTGCTGCGGCTTCAGAAGCATCACCCCCTTTCTTAAAAAGAGACCATGGTGCATGCTCATCCATGTACGTATTGCCAGCATTACCAATCTCAAGTACAGCCTCACAAGCAGATGATACTGAGAGGTTTTCATATTGGACACGAGCTTTTTCCACCTATAGAAATACAAGGAAAAAAGAAAAAATATCATCTTCCATAAGATGCCATTAGCTGTTGAGTGCAAAAAGAACCAAAAGAAAAGAGTAGATTGGGAGAGGGAAGGAAATAAATTGATCTCAAATGCCTACAAATGCCTAAAAACGATGAAAAATATTTACCAGAGGAGATTCTATTCATTCGAGTCAGCTAAGTTGTAAGTAGGATATTGACAATTGGAAACATCAGAATTTCTCAGCTAATTTACCAAAACATTCAACAGTGAATTTGCAAAATGTGTCAAGACCACAATTACATTTAGGAATAAATGATAATTAATAGAACTTCCACAATCATCAGTACATTTCTAGTATTATAAGCATATCTGTGGAAAATTGAGGTCTCATGGCCAGTAAAAGGGTGAAAGTGCTTATCCAAATAATTGAGAAAAATTACATTTTTATGTAAATTCATTCAACTAATGTCTGGTTCAATGATCAGGACAGGAAAGAGTAGACTAATTTATCTAAGATCTACGTACCCAAAGCACACATATGGCAACAGAAATGTCATTGAAATCTTACCAGCTTCTCCACAGTAACTCTGAAAGGATTTCCTTCAGCTGCACTTGCTGAATCAACGACCAAGGTTGATTGGCAGTTCTTCTTAAGAAGCCCAAGAGTACGGTTAAGAAGATTTCCTGCATAGAAATAAGTTAACATTGCATGTGTCCATAGAATCAGTAACTATCCACCCAAAACTTTAGTAAATCATACCTATTGTATTAGCAAGGTGTGCATTGACAATGTTAATAAAACGATCTTCTGAATAATCCCCATCATTTCCAAATTCCACCTCCCTGAGGAAGAAATACCTGACTGCATCAGGCCCAAATTTATGAACCAATTCATTTGGTTCAAGTGTATTACCAAGTGATTTCCCCATCTTCATGCCATCCTATAATTTTCAAAATAAAAATCAATGTTGCAGGAAATAAAATTAGGTATATATGAGGAAAGAAAAAATGAAACGATCTATTTATTTGCTTGACCATAGCCAAACTGAATTTGCAGGCATAAGAAAAGATTCCTATTCACAAAGTGTAGTTGCATATCATATAGTCATATATATGAGAAACAACTACTCAAAATGTGCTAACAATTTTATTTTAGAGATTGACTTTTACATCCTGATAAGGCAATTTTTAACCTGGGACCTAATGTAACCCTATGGTTGACCTATTTGCACCAAGCATAGGAAAAGAAACTAGATTTGTTCTTTTTTGATCGCTTTGCTGACTATAGGGATCATCAGAATGCCCTATGACATGTAAATATTGTAAAAATATGAACATGCAGCAACATAGAACTGAATCAATTTTACCATTTAGAACTCACATCAAGTAAACTCTTATGTTCTTCCCATTCAGATCATGATAAATTCAATTACTTCAATTTCAAACCCCCTACAATTGAATTCTACAAAGAATAACTAGCATATGTTCTGTATATGTCAAGGTTATGATAAGAATATAGAAATGGTTTTAACATTACTAATAGGATCCTTTGGCAATGTTGAATGTCTACTGTCTACAATTATAATCAGAATATACTGCATAAACCAGAAATATTTACTTTCTCTCTGTTACCTTTCCTCATTAAGATGTAAATCCTTGATTGCCCTTAATTTTGTAACTATATATGTTCATTTTCATGTATAGATAACTAGTATATATATATTTCTAGATAACCACATGCATATACTGAAAAATCTTTCTCTCCTCTGTTTTCAACATGGTATAGATGCTAAACCTATGATCACTACCCATTCTCAATAAGAGACCTCTTCTAACAGTGAGCACGATGGACCCACAGGGCCTTGCACTATTTGAAATGGGTTTAGACTTTGATCATCCCCCTTTCCTAAGGTGCAAATGCAATCAAACTCGTATCACGTGTTTTATCAGATCAGTGGTCCCTGAAGAGAGAAAAATAAATCTGGAAAGGTCTCACATCTGAACTCGGTAACAGACCCAATCAACTCAGGCTCTCTCTTCTCTGTGTGACAGAATTGATTCAGCCACCCACATCTGAACTCAGTGACAGACATGATTGAGCTCCTTCATCTCTATATTGAGCACATTATATTCAGGTGTTGGTTGCGCATCTGCCTTGTTTTAGACAGAGAAAGTCACATGTTTATGGAGGGAGATAATTGCTTGTTAAGCCTATCTGTCAACAAAGAGAACTGACCTTTCTTCGATCAGTGATTGTGGTTGTGGCAAGTTTTATTGGTGAGTAAAAATAGCTGACTTGAGTTCTTGTAGAGAGAGAGAAGTTAAAACTGTTGTGTGACTAAGAGAGAGAGAGAGAGAAGTCAAGCTGTTAGTGACCGATTATTGCTGTTTCTTCTTTTGTAATAGGTGCTTGTGGAGAAAGAGAAAGGAAAACAGGGAAAGGATTGGCTATAGTCAACTGCAAGGCTCTATGTGTTGGTGTAGGGTCATGACTCTCTTATCTCTTCTAGTACCCAAGTATGGTTAAAGAATCTGTATCCTGTAATCAACAAGTTACCCAATTGCATATATAATTCTAAAAACGTCTTATTCTAGAATGTTTAAAAATTGCAATTCAGAATTGCTTGTCTTGGATGTGAGCAAGTTTGTAAGACACACATGACCCCCTTATCTATGGTTATTAATAAGTCATATTTCTTGCATGATTATTCACTTTGATATTCATCCTACTTTGGAGTGTTCATTTCCTGGTCTAGATTGAAAAACCCAATCGTTTGGGACCAAATAATGTCAGTTCGGTCCTCAGTTTAGTAATAGTAAATCCATGACATACAGCCTAGTACGGTCCAGTTTTCAGTCTGGACCACTGAATACCAAAAAACTTTTAAAACTCTTATTAATAAGAGTCATGTTTCTTGCATGATTATTCACTTTGATATTCGTCCTACTTTGGAGTGTTCATTTCCTGGTCTAGATTGAAAAACCCAATTGTTTGGGACCAAATAATGTCGGTTCGGTCCTCAGTTTAGTAATAGTAGATCCATGACATACAGCCTAGTACTGTCCAGTTTTCAGTCTGGACCACTGAATACCAAAAAACTCTTAAAACTCAAATTTTGAAAATAAATAAACAAATAAATAAATAAACTACTAAAAACTGAGTAATTACTTAGTTATAGATAGTTTGTCAATATTATTAATTTGGGAACATTTATGATCCCAACTGATAGATCTAGTTATGAGACGATTAATATGAAAATCTGCATAAAGTTTCGAGTGTTCTGAGTTCTCCGACCTCTACCTACTCTGGAGTAAAGTCGGATTTGTTAAGAGAGAACTCAAAGATTTGAGTAAATAAGTACTCAACAACTCTACTAATTTCCTTCCATACTTTTCATAGACCAGAAATAGGAATTTATACAGCAGAAATTACAAAAACAGTTTTCTGTTCTTGGCTAAAAACAGTTACTGCTAGAACTGTCTAGAAACTGCTAAAACTTGTCAACAAAAACTGTTACCCTGCTTATGAAAAAACTTCCACAACTTTCATATCTTATCTTCCTAGACTTGGTCAACTTTAACAACTAGTTGATGAAATTTATTCCCATATACAACCCATATAAAACCTATCCAATATTCATGAACACATAAAAACAACCCTAATTACCTAAAATAGAATTAACTAATTCCGAACCATTTGTGCTTAGGATCCCCAACAGCATGAGAATGACTTGAGGTTATCTGCTGCATGTTAAAGACAAAGTCTTTTTTTTATTTTAAGTTATTCAACAAAAATGGTTTGAACACAATTTGATGTAAAAGTCAAAATCTTTCATGCTGACAATGGAACAAAATACATTGATGATGTCTTTCCTGGGCATCTTGACATCACGATAGTGAACAAGACCAGCTATGTCAATTAGAGCTCAAAATGGGATTGCTAAAGAAAGAACAGGTGTTTATTAGAAGTTGCCAGAATTCTCATATTCCCTATGAATGTTCCACAACCTTATTTGTGGGGGCGGGGTGGGGTGCAATCATAACAGTGGCCCGTGTTACCAATTGTATCTTGCCGTAAACACTGGGTTTAAAAATCTCTTGGAAGTTTTGTTGGGGACAAATATCATCCCTCTTGAGGGTGTGTTTTTGTTGTGTTCATAAGATAAGGCTTAGAAAGTTAGAATCTTAGGCTCTAAGTGTGTCTCTATTGGGTATTTTGTTCTGCGAAAAAGTTATAAATGCCATAATCCTCTCACTACAAGAACACTTATTAGTATGGATATCATCTTTTAGGAATTTGAATCATATTTCTCTTTCTTCCAGTTACCTCTTCAAGGGGAGACTGAATAAAACAAAGATGTAAGTTTTTTTCCTGAAAATACAATATGAACTATATCCAAGAGCACCGAGAAGTGCAACACAAGTATTTATAGAGCTATCTAAATATCTATTATGTCCCAAGATCCTCACCAGAATAAAATGGATGACCCATGATCAAAAGGTTAGTCTTGGTTATAATTAAATCTATAAAAATTAGACTCAGCACCCTCAAAAACCCTTTAGTTCCTCTCGTTCCAGCTGGAAATTCCTTCAACATTGGCAGAAGAGCAGTTAGATATTGCTTTTGACAAAAACCGTAAGTGAATTATATGAACTTTTCTCTCTCAAGCATTGAGTTCACTTATAACCATTCTTGACTCTGCCACTAGTGATAAGGATGACAGCACAAACAATCTAAATTGTGGTAGACAATATGAGGACGACTTGATAACTTATTCCTACAAACACAAGGTTCCTAAAGAACCACTTGGTTAGTTCAATACTACTCCTGATTCTCACTCTAATACTGATGATTTTAACTTCCGCAACTAGGAGATCTACGTCGGTTATTGCACATTTGTAGAAGGTAATTTGGTAACTTGGAAGAGTTAAAAGCAGCTGACAGTGGCCAAGTTTAGTGCAAAGGCTGAATACAGATGAATGGCACAGGGTGCACGTGAATTACTTTGGTATCTTAAACATATACCATGTGAATTCTGGAGATCAGCAACCTGATGTCTTCAATAAAGACAGTAAACAATTATACGGACTGATTTGCAAGATCGGCAAGTGAAATATCTGTACAGCATCTTGAGTGGGAGAATTGCTTATTTACCACTATAGTCAAAATACACTTTCATAAAACCAGAAATCTTTACTTTCCTTTTCCATATCTTTTCTGCATTAAGATGAAATTGATTATTTGCTTCTATCTTTCAAAACCATGTAAAATTACTTCCATATATAAGTAACTAGTATATATATACACAAAGAGAATCATAAGAATATAGTGAAAAATTTCTCTCCTCTGTTTTTAATAGACTTGATTTTTCAAAGTACTAACATACTTCAAAATTGAACTATATTGTAAGTTAGGTCATGCTTAAATACCTTTGTCAAAAATCCATGGCCAAACACCATCTTAGGAAGGCCTAATCCAGCAGACATGAGCATAGCCGGCCAATAGACAGCATGAAAACGTAAAATATCCTGCAGAATAATAAGAATAAGCAAAGAAAAGAGCCATTCAAGAAAAACACACACCTTTATTAACATTTTCGTCTTGCTTATCCACCTATGAACTCTAAAAAGTGGTCTACCTCATACATTAACTTCCAATGTTTTTATGTAAATTTATAGCTAACAAGAGCCAATATCGGTTATGACAATGAAGTATGGGTCTGTTCATTACCTAGCGTTTATACACTCAGGCATGCCAACATAAGCAAAAGGTAACTAGTATTTACAATAAGCACCATTGGGTTCTAACAAAATATTTTAGCACAAATTACAGGAATTGAGTTTAGTTAATGCAGAACAAGAAGATATTATTTTAGAACAAATTTTTAATTAATTTTTTTTTATTTTGCAATAGTTGTTCTTATTCCGTATTTTTAAGTCATTAGTTGTTTAGCTTTATTTGGATATTATAATATTTCAGTTCCCTGTTTAGGTACATTAAGTATTATTGTTCGTTGCAAAGACATTGATTACAAGTAATTTTTTTTATTTTGCAATAGTTGTTCTTATTCCGTATTTTTAAGTCATTAGTTGTTTAGCTTTATTTGGATATTATAATATTTCAGTTCCCTGTTTAGGTACATTAAGTATCATAGGAATTAACTTTTTCTTTTATAATTGTTCATATTCTTTGTAATCAATGTCTTTGCAACGACCAATGAAACCAACAAAGATAATAAACAATAATAAATTGAGAATTTCTTTGTTAAGGTTTTATTCCCTGTTATTTCTGTCCTTGTTCTTTTAATTATTCTTCTGTCTAATCTGTCTCGTTCAGTCGTCTCCTCTCTATATTTCTCTTTACCTTGATCTCTAATTTACTCTAGCCTATCTTTATTTCTCTGTTTCTCACCTAAATTTTCTCCATTTCTAAGCTTTTTACAGGACATGTTAGTTTAACCACTTTGCCCTGCATCACTATATATAATTTGGAAAGATCTCAAATGGAATGAATTAGACTTCATCACAAGGATTTTCCAAAGAATCAACTTTGAGGACCATGTCCCAGGTTATAATTTTGAATGATGCATTTGAGCGAATCATCAAATAGAACCCAACAGAGTAAAAAGCAACCAAGCATTTTGCTATATCATGATGTCATTTTTGTTTCTTTAACTTAGGGAAACAGTCCTTTAGGAATATTAGAGTAGTACTGTACCTTGCCAATCAAGTGCAGTGAGGCTGGCCACCCAGAAGAAATGGCACTCTCTAAATTGTGTGGCTCCTTATCCTCTAATAGAGCTGATATATAACTGTTTCAAGCAAACACAGGAAAAAAAAACATGGATATAATTATTTGCAGAAATTTTGTTAAGCCATCTTAGTAATGTGGTAACAAATGAACCAGGAAGATACATACATATTCAACAATCAGCTGCTAAATTCTGGTAAGTAATATGGCCGTTGCATGCAGCGATTAAGAGAAAAAGACAGTATCCTAACCATAAATTAAACACATCATGCTGTATCAAGCTTAGACATGGAACTATATGGTTCAAATAGTGCATAAAGAAGTATACCCTAGTAAAGCATCAAACCAAACATATATGGTTTGCTTATCATCATTAGGAACTGGAATACCCCAATCCACCGAAGCTCGGGAAATGGAAAAGTCTCTCAAGCCACTCTTGATCCAACTTTGCACCTAAATGAAACAGCTAATTAGGAGAAACGGGTTTTTGGATAAAATGATAGTCAAAGGAAATTATAACTGAATACTAACAACATATTCAAATGACTTAAATTGCTCAAAAGACAATAGAATTAGATTTTGTATGGCCCCTCAGGTTACAACCAAAAACTGGACTTTTTTTGGAAATAAAAAGAAAAACTGGACTTATAATGAGCATATACAGACAGCAAAAACCTCAGCTTGAGAATATTACAACAGTGTATTAGATGAAACTGTAGCAATCACAGCAATAGTACTGAAGAAGAGAACTCTTCAAATAACAATTTTTTGATTTTGACAATGAGTTAGGAGAGTTTACCAATTCATTTCACCTTCATTGGTAGGTATCAAGTTTGTTATTAGACACTACCTACAATTATATACAAGAAACTTAAAGTTACCTAAATTGACAGCTGACCTGAAAGATAGTAATGCTCATTCCAAATAATATATAGACAGTCTTAACAAAATCATATTTGGAGATTAAAAGAATATTAAACTACCATTAGGAAAAGAATAAAATATAATCAATGAGATGAAAGAATTCAGCAATGTCTCACCTCATTGAAACGAAAAGATGGCTGCACAAAACCAGGATTTTGTACCAAAGTTTCTTCCAGTGATTGTTGATACTTTGACAAAGCAAAGAAATAATTATCTTCTTTTCGCAAAACGCATGGCATTCGATGAACAGGGCAACAACTATTATCAAGCAGCTCTTTCTCATCCTGCAGTATATAGAATTCATGAAGCTCATGCTTTGCCCCAGTGAGTAACAGAAAGGGATCTGTCTAAACTTTTTCAAAGAATTAAGGAAATACACACAAACTTAAAGATGAGTACGCAGCATATAACCTTTTATGTTGAATTGAAAAACAACATTAACAGAGATGCTAAAGCTATAACTCTAAACATATATTACTTAAGTTAAGGTCACTATTAAAGACGACGAACAAAAGAAAATCACCCTACTTATCATAACAAAAGCATTATTACAAACATGTGTTAATCATAGGTCTCAGGCAGAAGAAGCAAAGAAGAGACAGCCTCACCTTATACTCCTCACAGTTAACACAGTAAAGTCCTTCATAGTCAGACCGGTAGATGTCACCACTGGCAAGGACCCTTGAATAGAATTCCTTTACAATTGCTTCATGCTTTGGGTCAGTTGTTCGAATGAACTTGTCATAAGCAATATCTAACTGAAATCAACATTAAAAGGAAGATAAACTAAAATTTTAATAAGAACAGAAACTAGAACATTCAAAACGTAATTGCTCAGATAAGAGAACAAATCAATGTGGTAAGAATAAACTACATCTTTCCAAAGCGTCCTGTAAGCTTGAGATACTACATCGCAGTGTTGCTCAGGACTGGCCCCACAAGCAGCAGCAGCAGTAGCTATCTTCTCCCCATGCTCATCTGTACCTGTAACAAATATAACTTTCTTGCCTAAGAGCCTCTGCACCAAAAGAAATAAAGGGGAAAAAAAAACTTAAATAAATAAATGAGCTAAAAACTAACACACTGGCATTTTTTCTTGAAATGAATCAACTCAATTGATTAAGAATTTTTTATGATGAGAATCAACTAAATTGAATAAGAAACGCCAACCAAAATTTTCTAACGTCAATTTCACTTTTGAGACAAACTTAAACATTCAATTTCCTTTTTGAAGATCAATAAGGATTAGGATTACAGGACAACCATGAAACCAAAACTTAATGCAAACAAAATTATAACCCCAATAGATAAATTCTATTAATCCATCAAGAGAAAGACAAAGAATCCATCAAACAAACAAAAAAGAAAAGCACACATTAAAACCAGGATCTAATTAAGAATACCTGGAAGCGAGCAATGGCATCAGCAGCAATGGTAGTGTAGGCACTGCCCATGTGGGGAGGAGCATTTACATAATACAATGGAGTAGTGAGGACAAAAGGATCGCCAACTGCACTTCCATGGAGATTATCGGTCCCGTCATTATCCCCGGTGCTCCTGCAAGTGCAGTACACGGCTCGTTTTGGATAGAACGAAGAAGATGAAGATGAAAGCAGAAAACTTTGAGGGAAACTGAGGCGATTCTTGAAGTGGGTTGCTCGGAAACTAGATGAATTATGCAGAGGGTTTAACAACCAGAGGCTATTCTGTATCGAATAGTTTATCCTCGCAGCCATATTCTGCAACGATTGAAGATATTGCCTACTCTTCCTCTAATCTCCTCCGTTTTCCAATAATAAACGAGAATGCTGCACATTTTAAAAAAAAATTAAAAACAAATTACAATATAATGTTTAAAATTACCATAATACCCCCAATTCTATTAACAAAATGTTGGACAGAAGGGTAATTTTAATGACAACACTGCATATAAAAACATTAGTTTTAGGGTTTCAGTTTTATTTCTCCATAGCAGCAACCGCCGCATTTCTGCGTTCTCCTCCTCTCTTGCGATCTCTTGCGATCTAAGGTACCGAGTAGTCTCCATTCTTATCTCTTTATTATCTTGATACCACCTGCCCATGGTCCTACACCTGTTTATTTTACAAAGAAATTACTCCGAACTCTAGCAAATTTTATTTATCGTGTCACAAAAACAGAGTCAAAAAGATTTTTTGTTCGTTGTAACAAAACCCAATTGGAAAGAAGAAAGCCGTATCAAAATATTGTTAAGTGCTCGTAATGTCTATCCACGTTTTTGTTATGGTTTTCTGCTTTGTTGGAAAAGGTGTTTCTTATTCTTTCAAAGATGATAATGCATCTCCGCTCCTCTATCTGATTATTCGGCTTCTAATCCATGATTGAATTTGTAGTTGTGTGGATATATGTGGTCATTGAGGGCTACATGGACTGATCTATTGCTAGCAAATCTTAATGTTTTTAACTTGGGTCAAAATTTGTCAGGCACAAAATGGATTCTCAAATTAAGCATGCTGTGGTGGTGAAAGTCATGGGTAGGACAGGATCTCGAGGTCAGGTGACTCAGGTGAGAGTCAAGTTCTTGGATGATCAGAATCGATTCATCATGAGAAACGTCAAGGGACCAGTCAGAGAGGGTGATGTTCTCACCCTTCTCGAGTCTGAGAGGGAAGCTAGGAGGTTGCGCTGATGGGGTTCTTTTTGCTGTTAATGTATGCTATTAATTCTGGTTTTGTTTGCTGCTGTTTTTCGAGTCTTGTTAGTTAATGCCTTGAGGATTTCTTTGTTTAGACTCGATAGTAACATTGAGATTATATCAATTGGATATTTAAACGTATGGCTTTGGTCATATTTCATTTTTCCCCCATTAGTTTCTTTCTGCAATTTCCATGCCTCAAATTGTGGTATCAGATTTATAGATTCAACATTTAAATGGAATGTGCACTTTTTTTTCTCCATTTGATTGCAGTTATATTAACTTCTTATCTGTTAACCAAGAAAGTGTATAACCAAAAACCATATATGAGCTTTTACATTTTAAAGGGAGACGAGCAAGTCCAGAGCATAATAAAATGTGTGGATATAAAAGAAATATATTATATGAAAGCTTTTACGTCCTTTTGAATTTTAGTAAATTATAAAATTTTAATGGATGATATTTTAGAAATATGATAAAATTATATTTGTTTTAATTTATAATTGTTACTGTATTTGATTAGTAAATTTGAGTTGAATTTTAAAATTACTAAATTTAATTTAATTATGTATAGTAATTATTTATTTAAATATAAATGTAATTATATTGATAAATAATTTTTTTTTTATTACATATTTCTTATAGAATATTTATTATTATGCATAACAAGTAGTGATAAATGAATAATCTAATTAAAAATATAATTTTATTATCTTAACATACAAATAAAAATATGTTAACAATATATATTAATATATAATTATTTAAATATTAAAAAAAATTATTATTCTCATGATATTATTATATAATTAATGTAATTATTATATATTAATTAATTATCATTAAAATTTATTTAAATATAATTTTAATGACTTGTGTCTTTGTGTGCGCTTGTGTATGTATATACCTTATATATTGAATGAACTATCTATTACATTTTAAATTAATTTGAATACGATAGAACAAATAGAAGTTCAAAAAAGTAAACACCAAGTACCGAAAATTAGTTAAAATTTTTGTATCTCGTATGAAAATCATGAGTTAAGATCTTAGTGAGAAGATAAAATTATGAGTATAATCTCAAAATTCTTGATTTATCGGAATATATTGCTGAAATGTTAAAAAAAAAATTAGTTAAAATATTTATAATGTACTAAAAATCTTGATCTAATTTTTTTTTTAATCTTACAATAAATATATAAGAGACAAAATAAACAGAGTAATTATCAACTCGTTTGATTTGATTCGACTCAATCCAACTCTATTAACAACATCAATAGCGAGCACAGTCGAACTCATTTTGGTATTGATGTAGATCAATTAGTTTTTTTTTTTTTTAATCTACTTGAAATCTAATTAAATTTACTTTAGTATAAGCATTATAAAATAATAAAAAATATAAAATTTTATTGATAATAAATAATAAAAAAATTTAACAAAAAAATATCAAAATAGCAATACAAATTAAAAATAATTAAAATACTAACAAAATAAATTAAATTTTAATTAAAAAAAAAAAAAGGAAATCACGACAAAGTCTTGTTTATAAGGATCAAAGAGGCAAACTCAAACTTGATCAACCATGAGCCAATAACAACAGACAAAACTTTACTGTCTTTTCTAATAAATTTAGATATACTCTATTCATAATAGTAAATAAAATAACGAGTTAATGAATTAATATAATACTTCATAAAATATAATATTTTTTTATCAAAAGTTTAAAAGTGGAGTTGACATATATATATATATATATATGTGTATATATATATACATGAAAATAAATCAAATGAGCTACTCCAAAACCTATTCGGTATAGGTATTGTACATGAACATTTACAACCGTTTTAGAAGAAAAGGTTGAACAAGAAATCAATGGGAATAATGTAACAACCCAACTCGAGAGAAATAAATATAACTCATCTGCTTTTTAGAAATAGAAAAAGTCAAAACGATGTCGTTTTGAAAAATTCAAAAAACGACGCTATTTTGATGTGAAGAAAGGAAAAATAGAATGAAGTGAAAACGACGTCGTTTTCAAAGCATCAAAATGACGCAGTTTTAGTGATAGAAAAAAAAAATTAAGGCCGTTGAAATAGATGAAGAAGCAGCCAGGACCTGCACACCGAAGAAGAAGGAAGAAAAAGTGTGCAGGGCTCTATGTCCTCCCGCCTATTAAAGGAAAAAATTAGAGGAAATCAGGAAGAAGGAAGAGAAACATAGTCAAACTAGTCGAAAGAGAGAGAATGAGTCGAGAAGAGAGAGAAAGCAAAGAGAGAGAGAGATGGAGGAAACAGATCAAATCGACAATGAGGCGGGTTTGGTGCATGCGGCATGTGGTACGACAAGAGGCCCATAACCAGAAGGCCGGAGAGAGTGAAAGCACGACGGGGTGTAGAGAAGAATGTGAATTGCGGCAACGGCTAGGTGCAGTTCCACGCATCCCCACATTTCTCCGGTGCATTTTGCCATGGGCGAGCCAAATCTACGTGTGCAGCTCGTTCTATGATGATTTCCAATAGAAGCATGGTGGCACGTGCTGGTTCTGGTGGTCGCGCGTGAGGTGGCAGGTGGCACTCCGGCGAGCAGCGTGTGGTGAACCAGGAGCACACGGGTGGTGGCACGTGGCGACTCCGGTGAGCGGGATCACGAGCCTAGGGTAAAACTATTTTTTGTTGGGTTCTTTAAAAAAATATCTCATCGTTTAATACACGTGTTATGTATTTGTAAACGAAAAAATTAACCAAGTGGCAGTGAAGATTTAAAGGAGGCCGTAGACCTGAACCAGTAGGAATCTTGACACACTTTTCCTAATCAAACTTTACGTAAGAGATTGAGTTAATCTCATTTAGAGGCCTTCATATTTTTATGAAACTTTGTTTTTCATTAAAATGAATTGTTCACAAACTTTATAAACTGTTTAAGTTTTCTACCATAAGTTATGCGAACTCATTATATGTGCGTGTGTACAATTGTATATGATTGGAAACCTGCATGATGTTATGTATGACGTATGTTTATGTATTCATATTGTTACTTATTTATATATGCAGATTCATGCATGCTAATTATTAAGCTATAGGTGTGTGTGATACATATATATATATATGTATAATTGTAAGTTGTGTAACATATGAATGTATGAGTGAACAATTTGTATGCACCTGTTTATAGAATACACATATGCCTTATGTAAATATATAAGTATATTCATGTTGTATGTATTACGTGTATATATATATTTATTTGATTTGATAACTGTGCATATAAAGTATATATATTGCATTTATTGTGTAAGCATGTTGAGGTATAACATATATGATATATGAAAAAGTGTATACCTGAGTAGGTCATCTAATGATGAACCTGATTAGTAAAAGAACAATATGAGAATCTTTAAAAAACGAGAAAATTTGTTTAACCAGTATCACCGAGGGGTGGGTGTGTGTGTAGTTTTTTGGCGTATGATTGTGGCGAACCTTACCTATAGATACAGTTTTAACCATACGTGGCGAAATGATAAGGACTGTGAATTGCAAACTATGAATTGTGAACTGTTACCTGAATTGTAACGAATTCACGTGGTAAATGGGATCCTTACTACCCTTGTTGATGCTGG